CTTATGAGGTGGGCTTTAAACCTGCAAGACTATGACTTTGAAGTGAAGGTGGTCAGAGGGTCAGTGAACTGTGTTGCTGACGCCTTGTCAAGAAGACCTGAAGAATGAAGACGGCGAAAGAAAAATGGACTATGTACCACCGCCGCAGCCGCCCCGACGCCCGCCGCCGCTCCTCCGTCCCGGCGCCCCCCGGGGGGAAGTTTGCATGAGGCTCCGCCGCCGCCTGCCCCGGCTGCCGCTGCGCCGCCTTTGGGAAGGATCCTTGCCCCCTTGCTCGCCCGGACGTGCGCTGCCCGAGTCCCTAAAATGAAGAGGGCGATCGCGGAAGGTAAGCGGAGCGCGGAGAGGGGAGAAGCCGCCGGCCAAAGGCCATCCGTGGTGCCGGGACACTGCTGGGGCCCCCGGCAGGGTCGGAGCCGGCTCAGACCCGGCGATCCTGAGGGAGGAGGGTTTTGCGCAGGATCCTAGAGCCGGTCCAGCTCGCCGGTGGATCCGTCTGAAGCCCTACGCAGCGGCGGACCAGAGAAGAGAGGGATGGGTTTTGGCCAGCCTTGGGGGGGGAAGCGGGCTAAAAGGGGAACAAGAGACCCCCTTATCTGTTTCGGGGGGGGCAGGCGGGACGGACCACGCCCTTGGAACCTCCTCCCTCAAGAGGTATCCACACTCACACCCCGCTTGGCGCAGAGGTCCGCCCTGGTTTTGGGCAGAGGATCGCGCGCCTGGAAAAAAGACCTCCGGTCTTGCCCATTGCGCGAAGGGGTGGAACGTGCGGACCGGAGAGCGCCTTGTGCGCCGGCTGGTCGGGCGCGGGGTGGTCTTGCGGGGAACGGCTCGCCTCTCTTCCTGATGCTTTCCCCTGCCTCCGGGATGGGGGTAGGCGTGTGCTGAGAAGGGAGAGGGAGAGGGGCGTACGAGTTAAAGCCTGGAATGGAGGGGGGGGGAAGAGAAAGTAGACCCTTGGGATCTTTTTTCTAACTGCACAGAGGATGAGAGAGAGGCTCAGAAGAAGCGTGAGCTGTCGTTCCCAAAAGCGGTGGCTGGGGGACTTTTCTTTCCGGGTTTCTTCGTGTGAAGGACTCTTGGGTGTCAGTTTTGTTCAAGCTTGGCGGTTGGGGAACCATCGCCGTTAAACGGGGTGAGGACGCACCCCCCTCTTTGTTTCCCTTTCCCCCTCGCCCTGGAGGAAGAGGGCGCGGGCTCTAGGTTGGGCAGGGCGTGCACACCGCGAGGAGACCTCACCCCCCCTCTTGCGCGCACACACCCCGCACTCCCCCACACCTTCCCTGGGTTTCGACTCTACAGCGCCTCCCGGAGGCCTCGGAGCTCTGCGACTCCGGCAGGTATCCGCAGAGGTAGCGCTGCCCGGAAAGGGTGGAGGTTGGTGGGCTTCTGACCCCCCCACCCATCTATCTTGAGAGGAGCCGCTTGTCTTGATCCGCTAACACGCGTGTCGTGGATGATGCGGGTCTAGAAGAGTCGGTGGTTTGGGGCGGGTGGTTTTTAGCCTTCCCGGGTGTCTTTCTGATAATTCACCCCAAGTCTCAGTGGCGGATCAAGTCCAGCGTTGGAGAGTTGGGGCGTGTTTCGGCCCCCCCTGTTTTATTTTTAGTCCCAGTTCTGGAAACTGGAGGTAGGAAGGTTCGAACACTGATTGCATCGTTTTAAAAAGGAGGGGAGACAAAGGTGGATGGCGGTGGGTCCCCGGGTGTGAAACTGGAGAGCAGGAAGCTGGCGGGGGTGGGGGGAAGGGAAGAGGCTGTGTCTGAAAAAGAAGACCCCCCCCCACACCCCAATGATGACCTGACGACCTCCTGTGTGACAGAGGAGAGCCTTCTCTTAGCCCTCCGAGTCGGCCAAAGTTTCTGAATGCTTTCTGCGGCTTCATTCAACCTTTCGCTCCTGAGCGATTTGATAGAGCTATTGAAAAGGAATGGGATCTCGAGAAGGGGGGGTGCCTTACACACCCGCCGGCCCCAGGAATTTTATCTTCTAGAGACGGATTCTGCTCACCACGATTATTTTATATGGTGTGAACTGCTGAGCCAATTCGGGACAGAGACCCGCAAATATTCTGGGGTGCGTGTGCATGAGCCTCGGTGTGCCTTTCTTTTTACTCTATGGGCGAAAGGCTTTTGTTGAAGCCGGTGAACAGTGGGAAATAAGGTTGTCCATGGAGATCCCCTTCGAGAGGGACTGGGGGGCTGGAGGAGGGGCTGGTGTCCCCCAGGATGGTCCTGGAAAAGGGGGTGGTCCAGGGAAGGAGCTGGGAGGGTCATTGGAGGCGTGATAAGCAACGGGGGATCTCAAGCATCCTTCACTACTTGTTCCCGCATTTCGATGAGCTTCGGTCCCCGGTGCTAAATTGGATTAAGGGTGAAGAGAAGCGGGGTGGAAAGTCAAGGGATCGTGTTGGGTTGGTTAGGAACGGCTTTTGTGTAAGGTCTGGCCAGGCAAAAGAAGCAAAGATCTCTTTCAGGGATAGAGATGGAAATGTCTTGGGTAAGGAGATGAGACCCCCTTCAGACCGATGCTATAAGGCGAGGGGAGGTGGCTGGAAGAAGCCACAGACCCAGGGATCGGCTCCGTGGAACCGCAGAGCAGGACAGCCCAAGGGCTCTGAGCTGCAGGGTGCGATCCGGTCCGGAACGAAGCCCGCTGGTAGGAATGGGAGCGATACGGCAGCGCCTCGCATTCATCTGGAAACAGCTTGCGCCGGCAGACGTCCGAAGCAGCGCCTGCAAGAGCTGGGACTTCCTGCGGTCTGAGAGTCAAAAGGCATCTGGGAGTGTGGGTCAGCCTCTCCCCTGGATTGTTCTCTCTCCTTGACCGTTTTTTACCTGGAGTGGCTCAAACCACCTGGAGTATCTGCTCTGGGTGGATTGTATGGGATGCCGGGATGCTGAAGAAGCTGCCCTGATGATGGTCGGTTTCTAAAGAAAAGAACCGGGGATAGGAAAAAGTGACCGCCAACTGACTAGGGGTCGAAAACAGGCTGAAGCCTCTATGGGGAGATGGGGGTGTGGACCCACTCATCCTGGGCCCTCCAGATCATGGACCCACTCACTTATACGCTTTACTGGCAGAAGTCATTGTACTGTACCACTGCATTTCTGCTTCGGTCAGACCATATCTGGAATACCGTATCTAGTTCTGGACACTCCAGTTTGAGAAGATCAGGTATCGGGGACAGGTCCACCAGAAGAGGCTGGCCAGAACAGTAGAAGGTCTGGACGCCAAGCCCGATGAAGGACAGTTGAGGGAGCTGGGTTTGTTTAGCAGCAGAAAAGGAGGCTGGGGAGCGATGCAACGGCCATCTTCTAATATTCGAAAGGTGCCAGAAGGACGATGGAGGGAGCTTCATTTCTGAGCCCTGGGAAGCTGGAAAAAAAATGGGATGCAAGTGTCAAGGAAGGCATTTTCACCTAGACATCAGAAAGGACATCTTGACCATGGAAACCACTTGAGTGTGGAACAGGCTGCCTCGGAGGACGGTGGCCTCTCCTTTCTTGGAGGTTTACAAGCCCAAGTCCGTTGCCCACTCACCAGAGGTGCTTTCGCTGTGGATTTCATTTTATTTTGCCTCAACCATGATTTGCAAGCAATGGACCTTGGAGTCTCCTTCGAACGCTACAGTTCTAGGATTCTCATGGCCTCCCTAGAAATAATTTCTGTTGTTCTTCCATGGGGCAAAGGAAAAGCAGCTGGAAGGAGCTTATTTACTCCTTTCCAGGCTTGGCTCAACGGCATGCCGCTTCGGGAAGGAGTATTGCTAGTTTTGGCCCCTTTCATACGCTAGAGAAGCAAGTGCTCGGAGCATGCATGAATATGTGTGCAGTGAGGGCAGTTCTATATCAAAAAATACTCGCCCGCCCCCCCATATGTGACATGCTACTTGCAGAATTGTCTGATCCAAAGGCAGGCTATACAATTTCAAAGGAGCAAAAGAGAATGATAGCCTTGTATTCAAAGCAGAGGTTAGTTGAGAAATTAGTCACAACATTTATATTTCACTTTTCGGGAAGCACAAAACTGAAATCCTCCATCAGCTTCAGAAAACAACACATATCTAAATACAGGATGAACCAATGGGAAGATTATTTCACAAACCCTCAGATAGATTTGGGGGCAGTGATGGAAAGTCATGGGTTTGTTGTCGTTCAGCAGGTGGGCTCATCGTCTAGATGGAGGCCCTTCTCATGACGATAGATGCCATCATCTTCTCCCATCAATGGCTCACCATCAGGAATGGCAAAAACTCTTTGGGGGATTATGGCTCCCCAAATATCTCAGCCATCATGGCTGGTGACCATACCAGAAGGTGTATTTGGGAGGGGTTGTTCATCCTTTCTAATTGAGGCTAATGACACTGATTTCAAGAGTTGGATTTCAAAAGGGTGCCTTGTTGCATTCTTTCCGGTTTTTAGTCCAAACTCTACTGGAAACTCTCCAAAGTGCTGAATCCTATCCCCAAAACAGGTTCAGTGTATTGGAAAGCTCCTTTAAATGATAGACCATCCATCCATCCATCCATCCATCCATCCATCCATCCATCCATCCATCCATCCATCTATCTATCTATCTATCTATCTATCTATCTATCTATCTATCTATCTATCTATCTATCTATCTATCTATCTATCTATCTATCTATCTATCTATCTATCTATCTATCTATCTATCATACTTTTACCTGCCTTAAAAAAAGGACCTAAGGCAGCTTACACCGTGAAAAAGACAACATTTACAAACTAAAAGGATACACTGGTTTTGAGAAGAATTTAAGAAATACTGCATTGAAAATGCTAAGTAAAAATGACACACACAAAAAACCCCACATTTAAAAGCAATAAAAAGACAACATTTAAAAGCTAAAAGGATACACCGGTTTTGAGAAGAATTCAAGAAATACTGCATTGAAAACGCTAAATAAAATTGACACACACAGAGACCAAAAAACACATTTAAAAGCAGCAAAGCACAACAAGGCGGCACGTGGGTGGGGATTTACCACCCAACACAATTGCCGTCTCTAGCCTCCAGTGCAAGGAAAGTAACTTCTCCCATCTTTGCTTCAGCCTGACATATTGGCCTGCTTGGTCACCTTGAGCAGGATCATGTGGAAAGGGCCATTTTCAAATCACTGACCAACCGATGGCGCTATGTTTGCATCGCTCTCTTTGCCTCGCTGTTCCACTACAACATGCAAGCTGTGCCTTATGTTGCAGAATGATTTTCTCCGAGAAGCTCAGCTGTCAGTGAATCACACACAAGCACATACATACAGCGAGACAGACATGTCTAGCCTTTATGTAGCCCAATATATACCCT